AACAATCTCCCCATTTTTTATGTTCAACAAATACACATCTAAACGATTGTTCTTTGAAGGATCTATCAATCTGGTTTGAAGCAATTGCTTTGGCCATAAAAGCCATACTCCTAGATATACCAATGTTCAATTTTCTACTAAATGTTTCACAAATTTCCACACCATTCACTTTTGTATTTTCTCTCACTTATGAAACTGTTATTTCCTTGTACTATGGTCGATCATGTGTGAGCTTTTCGTATTGCGCTACGTTAAGGATGTTGGGTCTCGAGTAGAGACAAAGATTCAAGTGTACCCTTCCTTCTGTGCGAGGACATGAGAGAGTTGGATGTCTCGCCCAAAAGGCTTCGGCTCGTGTTAAGTATAGTGCACCGGTGCACGTAATATTGATGTTTTTACTCGTTAGTCCATTGAGAAGTTAGAGATATAGATCTGAAGTTGTGATGGAAGACGATTCAAATAACCCTGTTAGTGAGTACAATTTATGAAAGCCCTGTTAGTGAGAGCATGTTATGACAACACAGGAAAGACCATTGGTTCATGAATGGTTTAACTGTATTGAAATGTTATGACGAGATATGGTTCTATGATATTTTACTTTGTAATTAATATAATTATTGTATATTGTGTGTTATGAAAGTTCTGGTTGCTCACCCTTGCATGTTGTAGTTATGGTTTCCACCTATGATGATCGTACTTGTACGAGAGTAGATGACGTTATAGATGAGACCGGATAGAAGTAGCTAGCAAAAGTTGAGATCTTTTATTTCGGGGTTGACTATTTTTATTCAGTATTTACAAGTTTTTCAAAATCGATATTTTTATTTGTAAATGAAATAATTTGAGATTTTTGTTTTGGACAGACGATGTCTAAAGTTATGATTTGCTTCCGCATTTTAATCGAATAAAGTTTGATTATCTTAAATAAATATTTTATGGAAATTTTTTGGAAAAAAAAATCATCGTGAATCAGAACATTTATTAACCTATTCAACTCCAATGACCTCGTGATTTGACCTCGGGATTCCAAAAAAGGTCCTAGAGATGATGACAATTACCAAATCCCTAAGCTCTCAATTTGAAATTATAATGAACCCTATGTTTTTAATGAATCCCAAATTTCAGTGCTTGAATCCCTATGTGAATGAACTCTAAACTCTCTCTAATTCTTAGAACAAATGTATTTAATTGAATTTTCCCAATTTCTTTAATTTTAAAATTACCAAAATCCATGTGTTTAACAACTTGTCACGTTATTTTAAAAAACAATATTAACATGTCACGTTAACTTTTTTTTGTAACGGCATTTAGCCTATTTAAGGACAGGAGTCCAATTACATCAATTTGTCAAAACTAAAGATTTAATTAAAAAAAAAATAATAATTAAGAAACCAATTTCAAACTAAAAAAATAAAGACCTCGAAAATGATTGAACTTTTTAAAATTTCAATAAATATATAATATCAACCAACTCGATCCACACTTAAAAAGTAACGCATTTAGTTCAAAATAATTATAACATGAAGCAATTTGACTAAAATAATGTATCCTATTTTATCAACATTGACACGTAAAAATCAAATTCTATATAGTTATAAACAAATAACCATAAATAATCTCAAACTGATCGAGACAAACTAATTTTTGAAATAATTGATCACGTCACGCTTCTAATTTGAAGTACATATACACAAAATTGAAATTAACTATTTGAAAATATATTAACAATCTTAAATAAACAAACATTTATTTTAGGACGCATGCACACAACTTCACATTATAAATCCTATTAAGAAGTATTTCTTTTTAACTAATGTTTTATCAATAAAAAATATTTATATTTAAAAAAAATATATCTAGGACGCTTCTAATATTACCAATATTTTTTATTAATTCAATTAAATCAGTGTTAAAATATATTTCTTTATTCAAATTTATTATTATTCTATCAGTACAAATCACATTATTTTAATTCATTTATTACTCTCTAAATTCATAGTTCCCTCCCTAAAACCCAACCAAACAAATGATGAAAGACTTCCATCGGATTTATCATATTTATTATGTGAGCTCGCTGCTTCTGGCAAGTGTAACCGCTGACGTAAACCTAACCCTAGAAAATAATCTTCGCTGTTGCTTCGACGCAGACCACGACCATTATTACGGGGCCACCACGACGCCGCCACGCGTCCTCCCACTTCACGCATTGCCGCTACCGCGCAGTAGCTACCATCCATAACCACCGCGACCAGTTCAGGTTGCCGCCACCGCGTCAGCGAGACGCAGCCACAACTACCACCGGGACAAGTTGAGGTCGGTCTTACATTTCCTTTTCTCACATATAATTAGTCTTATATTTTCTTTGTTGTATTTTTTGGTAGTTTTATAAGATGACTCTTACTTCCTCTGCTGCATAGTGTGCGTGCATTGAGTGTGTTCATTCTTTCTGCTATTGTCTCTGCTTCACGTGCCTTCTTTTTCGTGTGGATTAGGGTTTTTGATATGGCAAACACCGATGAGGCCGAGCCGTCATGCCAATTTGACATTCCCGAATCCTTCATCGACGAAAACTCCGAAGTTCTCCGGGAAAAGTATTTGAAAATTCTGAAAGAATTTATAGCCTCCAACGATCAAGGTCAACTATGTTTTTATTTTATTTTAATTTATTTCAATCTCGTCTTTACTCCATCACTTGACTCAAGTTTGTAAGAAATTTAATTAGTATCAATCTTAGTTTTAAGGGTGTTGTCCTATATTCTTTTGGAGGACCTTAAATTGCTTGCATTTTTTTGTGTGTTGTACCATTATTCTCAAGGGTGACGAGATTGCTTGCGTTGTGTATATATTGTTATTCTTAGTTTTGTGCGTTTGTTTGACTTATTTGTGTGTGTATATGGTGTGCGCGCGTACGCATGTATTACTCTATTTTTGTTAGTTGTGTGGTGAGTTTGTAGTACTATTCTTTTCAAGGGTTATAATATTGCTTGCAGTGTATGTATTTTATCTGAGAGTAGTGTTTGTACGATGATTTTTCTATTTTGCATGTATGGATTATATATATACATATATTATATTATGTTGTATGTTGTCATTTACAGTCAGCATTTTGTATGCAGCTTATGTGTTTCATGGTAACTTCTCTAGTGAAGAGCGCAAGGTAGTGGACCGGTTATGCCACCTCATGGAGTTAGGTGTAAGATTCTGTGGGTGAGTACTAAATGCAGCTCATGAAATTTCCTTTCTCATTATGTATGAATTATTTATACTATCAGGTCTGGAAAGGAGTAGGTTATAGTTTAATGTGTTTTGTTCTGTTTTACGTTTTTGCTGTTTATTACTTTGGGTCTTTGATTGTGTAGGACTGCAGGTGAGCAGAAAATAATTGCTTTCAAAGTGAATAACGAAGCCTCAAATCATGTATTGGGACATGGCTTTTTTGGATTTGCTTTCTTTATTATATTTTTGTTGTATTTGTATATAGTTATCTCATTGTCTCTGAGGCTCTGCATCCATCTTGTTTAGATTCAGGCCGTCCTGTCCAGGAAAAGGAAGAACAGAGAGGAGTCAGAGGCGTGTGGTGAGAATGCAGATATTTGTGAATTGAATAAAATCTGGATTTCCCAAACATTAGAAAAATTTGCAGCTTCAAACGATGAAGGTGATAATAATGTGGAATCCCCTTGAATTGTTTGTGTGGATTTTCTGTCTCATTAAGCAAATCTGATTATGTAATCTGTGCTTTTCTTCTGGAGAGGTCGTTTTGTAGTTAATGGATTTTTTTTTTCAAAACTGTTTTCTTTGAGTAGGTTTACATTAATGAGATGGAAAATTGTTTCTGGCTAAATTTACATTGACGATTTGTTTGAATTTAATATGTTTATAATTTTTGAGATTCAGATGGTAAGACATATAGGGAGAGGGAAATGAAATGATAATTGTGTTACAAAATAAGATAACTGTTAATGATCTTTTGAAAAAAATATGTTCTTGTTTGTTATCATTTAGAACTTATTCCTAGGGTTATGTAACTATAGAACACAAATGTCCCAACAAATATAGTTTTCATTTTGCTCATACTGTCTTACTCCCACCACCCACTTTAAGAACTCACTACCAATTTTGTTAAGACTTCAATCATTGTCATGGGAAGAAATATAGTTGTCTCTCTCATTAGTGGGAATGAAGTGGTATAAACATGGTATTGAAATTGATCTACTTAAAACTTGGTTAGTGGCCAAGGGATGGGTATTGAAATTTTTGGCCTTGATTACAATGACACTTTACCCATGGCAAAGATTAGTATGGTTTGATTCTTCCTTACTATCACTACTATTCATTGTTGGCCATTTCATTATCCTAGTAGGGGAGTATGGTCTAGTTTGTAAATTACGTTTGTCTCTCTCTGACCCAAGTAACCATCTAGAGCTTGGTCTGGTGAATTTAATCATCATGTAGTTTTTTGATTGAAATGAAGTGAGGCAGATCATTTAGTTTTCTGTTGTCAAACTTCCTTTGTGAAGTGTGTTTGTCTAATGCTCTATGTTGTTGATTTGGATAAAAAGTGTTTTTGTCTACTTAATAGGACTCATGGACATTTAAAATGATTGGGACTTTTTTTTTGCAGTGTACACTTTTGAAAATAAATTGACTGGTCAAGAAGATGATTTAGTGTATAACTTTTGCAGAGAAAGAGGTTTTATATATACTCTTTCTTGGTGAGTGCTAAATGAAGTTGTGCATTATAAAATTAATTTCTATTAGTTTCTTTGATTCATGTGTGAAATGGAATTAGTTTCAAATAAATGTGTTTTATTTGGTTTCGAAAATTTTCTTCTCATTTTGTTTAGGAATGGGATTAAACAGAGAGTATGTGTGCGTAAGACCAGAGAGGAAGTTGACAATACTACCTTGGTAGAGAATCTTTCTCATGTCACTTGTTCAGATGAATCAGATCAGGTATTGGGGAACAGCTCTTTCAGTTTTAAGACTTCAATTATCACTTTTACTTGGTTGATTGTGTGAGAAAATACTTCTGCCCTGTTTTTGATTCAGATTGATAAGCTGAAACAATCTGAAAAGAAAGTTGAGCGAGAGCCAGAGTCAGCTCAACATCAGAATTTCATTGTTATTGAACCCAAAGGGGTTCGGATGGATCCGATTTCCAAAAAGGAGGTTGCTACCACCAGGGTGTCGGGTTGTCATCCTTGCATCACATTTCCTGAACAGTCAACTCCGGTACTGGGACATTTGTGCTCAGACTGAGTATTGTGTTTAGGCCTATTTCATCTATGTCCACTTCATTTTTGATTAATATGATTAGGCCGGTGTAAATGCAGAATAGAAAGGAGACAGTGGCATCACGACACCAAAATCCCATTATTGATGAATCAACAAGGATTCGGATTTCCCAGACATCGGAAAAATTTTCAACATCAAAAGGTGAAAGGTTTCACATAAAAATATTGTGTGGGCAGCATTTGTTTTTTTGAGAAAAGCAGTTAGTATGTTTCAGTGGTCTGTTTCTTAACATGCTTGGTGAAATAAGCATGCATTTTTGTTTACTGTTAAATTTAAATCTTTCTCGCTTGTTCACTTGTGAAATGTTTAGAGGATGATTATATAGCTGATGATAGGATTCCAAGGTATGAAACAAGAGAAAATAGCTAACCTGGTACTGATATGTATCACTTATCAGAGTAACATTCATCTATATAAGGAAATTAGAGGAATCAAACAAGGAAACAGTTCTATGAATAGGCGAAAGCTGCCTTAGAAATATGGCGTAATAAGATAGTAAAAACATCTAGATGACGAGAAAAACCATCCTCTTCTCAAAATTACCACCTAAAATCCTAGAATAATTACCCGCTTCTATTGAGTACCCCCTTTATATACCCATTTCCTCTCTCTTCCTTTTGGCCCCACTGCACAATCACCCACCGCACATTTTGTGCAAAATAAGCCTTTTGTTGTTTTCCCTCTTTTGCAAATGTGAGTTTTAGGCCTAACAGCTATATAAGTTTGTTTGGAATAGGCCGATTGTACTTGTTATACATTCACCGAATATTAACTTTGTCTGCAGTAAACAAATTTGAAGCCAACTTGTCTTCTGAAAAATGTTTTGCAGTGCAATTATCCCAGGAAATGGGATTTAGAGTGGAAAATTCAGGGTAATTTCTAACTGCACTCATAAAACTGCATATGAAATTTCCTTTTTGATCATGTTAGAAATTAGATTTTTACTAATGCATGTGTAGGAGTGGGATGAGGCAGAAAACATCTGTGCAGGAAACTGAAAAGAATATTTACACCACTGCTATGTTAGAGAATCTTCCTTTTTTCACATTTTCTGGACAGTCAAAGCGTGTATTAGCAGATTTACTTGAGCAATATCCTCCTGGCGATGGGGAACTCTGGCGAACGATGATTGAAGCATTTGGTGACACTACTGATAGAACAGAAGAAAAGGAAGATGATGTTTTCAGGAGGCCTTGTATGAGCAAAGTTGAAATTATTAAGAGACTGGAGATTCTTTCTGAAGGAACGAAGGATTCCTTTAAATTGAAACTGGTTCATTTTTTTCCTGTCTTTGCATTGCATAGACCTTATATATGTATTTTGTTTGTCGGCTTCAATCATATTATTTGCTATCATATGTAGGCTTTACATGCCATCATACTGAATGAGTAGAGTACTTTCTATTGATGTAGATCAACGAAAAGAGATCTAAGCTTCCAATCCATTCTTTCAAGGACATGATTACATCAACTGTTGAATCTCACCAGGTTAATTTAATTCCTTGGTGATGTAATAATATTTTTGAACACGCAACTTCTTGTCAACACAACTCTCATGCTTGCATATCTTTTGGTTTTTCTATCTTTTTTTAACATTTTTCAAAGCAGGTAGTTATGATATGTGGTGAGACTGGTTGTGGAAAGACTACTCAGGTATTTGCCTTGTGCTTATTATGCTCTGTATGTTGTACAACTACATTTATAGAAGTTTGTGAATGATTCTATATAATGC